TGGGCTCTTCCAAACCCACATACTGCCAAAATATAGAATAGTTGTGCTTGTAGCTATCTATATGCACGATAATGGGAGAAGACTAAGCAGAGATTGAGATTGCTGTCTCTACTGCTTGTGCAAATGTTAAAAACCAAGGATCAAGGAATGCATCTAAACATTGGAAAAGTAAAGCAAATGCTATTTTCCGAGCCCTTTGCCAGGAAGGTAGTTCTGCAGATGCTTTAATTGCTTCAACTTTCAGTTAAGGAGGTGTCAGTGGGGCTACTGATCTGCAGCTCTACAATGCAGTCTGGGCATTTTAAAGTATTGTCAGTAACAAAATGTCACATAACATAGTATGCCACCAAATAAGAAATAAATATGTCTTGTTTATAAATAACCCAGTCCATGGCAGTTTTATCATAGCTGGTTCTAAAATATTGTCACTGCTGCAGTGGTTTTTGATAGTTTTGCTCTGTTTCTGTTCTTCTATAGCAGCAATGTTTTTCAATTCTGGTCTAGAGGAAAATCTTGTCTATTACCCCCTGAATTGTGTCTGTATTTAAGAAATGAGAGAGTTTGTCACTCTTGAATTATCAATTTGATCTCTTTCCTTGGGCCTGAGCTACAGAGGCATCTTGTTCAATTTCCTTTCTTCTTCAGGATCTTGGTACCTCTGTACTTCAGGGGAAAAGATACTAATCAAGATCAGCTTATGGATTAATGTTGGAGCTGCCAGTGACTATTCCAGCTAAATGATAAAGGTGAGTATTAATTTAATTGCTAAGAGAAGTATAGGCAAGGAATGAAGAGCAAATATTCAGACCCATACACTCCCTAAAGTTAAAGACCTAGAGTCCTTCACAATCACATTGCAACACAGTAGCAGGTTTGATTACAGAACTCTGATTACATATAGAAACCTTGGTGATCTGTTTCAGGCAGTTTGGAGTACAAGGTAGTGTAGCTTGAGTGGTTTGTAGACAATTTAAATTATACAGGAATATAATTAGGAAATCTGAAGTAGGAATGCAGAATGTTTGAGTTCAGTCAAGAGCTCTTTTCTAGGTATTAGCACCCTGACTTCTTGTATCTTCACACAGAGAAAAAAAGTTCCGGAAATCTTTCCTTGGAGGCCTAGCTTTCCAATACTATATGACAGCAAATAAGGATTTCCACACAGTGTTTATTTTGGAGGCTGCATAAATATTTATTCCAATGAATCAAGCTTCCAAATAAAGGATTTGAAGACGATGAAGACACAGATGATTTTAAAAAAATCCATGATTTTCAGTGAAGCCATAATATGAGGTACAGATTATTCATTTCCTCCCCTTACCCACAGGAAGTTTAGGAATATATGTCTCTCTGACCAAAAACAGGGACTCAAATGAGAGTTCATCACTAAGTATCATCAGATTCTTGGTGAGAAGAATCTATAGTTAGAACCAAAATATGGTAAATTTAACTAGAGAAAAAACTGAGTGTGAGAGTTAAAATATAAAAACAAACATCATTTTTTAAAATCTGCAAATGGATTTCATTTATTCCTTTTTGCTATGAGCTACATGTTGTGATAGATAACCATATCATATTAAATATTGTATATAACATATCTTGCCAAATTGGTAGTTTTAAGAAGTGAGTATTTTGTTGTGTAAAAGTTGGGAGAGGGGCTCTATAGAAGAGACCAGAAGGAATTTCTTTTCTCCTGCTCACATGTAGTGGTGTAGTAAAAAGCAATGCTATTGAAGCAGGAAACAAGCTACAGCAGGCACCGAGTCTCCCATGAACTTTACTTGGCCATCCCATCAAGAAAATCTAAAAGAAATAACTATGTATTGCTTCTGTACCACCCGTTTTATTCATATCTTCACACCTTCTCAGAAGAAAGTTAATAATAATTATGAAAGTCAGAACTTTCAGTAGAGGAGATTTTATGTTCAATAAACTCTTCAGAGCTTCAGGTAATCATCCATTCAGTGATGAAAGTCATAATTAGCAGTAAATGACTTTCTTAACTTAGATTGTCAAGGTAAACCTACAAGATTTAACTGACTCCTTCAAATGTTTTAATAGAATTTAAGCTTGTCTCCTAAATGCTCTGAGCTTTATACTCTTAAGACTGAAATATCTATTTGGAAAGATGAATTATTAATGGCCGTTTTTAATTATTATTATTTTTATTTAGGTTAGAAACAATCTTGTTTCACATGTGAATCCCAGATCCCTCTGCCTCCCTGCCTCCCCCACTCTCCCCATCAGGTCACCAGTCCCCCACCCAATCTCCACTCCAATCCCGAGGGAGGGCGAGGCCCTACATGATGGATCTCCAGTAACTGTCATTTCATCCAGAGCAGGGCCTAGACCCTCCCCCAAGAGTCCAGTCTGAGAGAGCCTCCCATATTGTGGCATGGGCACTCAACGTCTATTTGTACACTAGGGATAAATACTTCCCAAGGCCCCATAGATTACCTAGGCCTCCTCACTGACACTCACATTCAGGGGGTCTGGGTCAGTCCCATGCTTTCCACACAGCCATCAATCTGGAGTCAAAGAGCTCCCCCTTGTTTAGGTCAACTGTTTCCGTGGGTTAAACAAGCTCAGTTTTAACTTCTTTGCCCATCAGTTCTCTCTTTCTGACACTGGATTCCAGGAGATCAGTTCAGTGTTTGTCTGTGAGTATCTGCCTCTGCTTTCATCAGTCACTGGATGAAGGTTCTTTTTCCCAGCCTCTCTGGCAGTGGGACTGTATGCTGGCACTCTCCTGGTTAGGGCCTGGGTTAGCTCACTCAGATTGGTTCCTTCTAGTGCCATCCATTTGCCTGCAAATTTCAAGACTCCGTTGTTTTTTTTCCTGAATAGTACTCCATTGTGTAAATGTACCACATTTTCTCTATCCACTCTTCAGCTGAGGGGCATCTAGGTTGCTTCCAGGTTCAGGCTATTACAAATAATGCTGCTATGAACATAGTGGATCAGACATCCTTGTTGTATGAATGTGCATCTTTTGGGTATATGCCTAAGAGTGGAATTGCTGGGTCTTGTGGTAGACTGATTCCCATTTTACTGAGGAAACTCCATACTGATTTTGGCCATTTTAATGTTGTTGCTATCTTTATTTTGTTGTAGTCTTTATGCTTTAGAAGTTATTTACTCTTATATTACTATCTGTAATTTAGAGATTTGGTGTGTGTGTGTGTGTGTGTGTGTGTGTGTGTGCACGCGAGCATGCGCGCGCCAATTCCTAGTTAAGCAATATATTCATAAATGATAATCCCAATAGTCCCTATGTAGGAGACTTGATGTCTTGCTGAATGAAAAATTCCCTATTCTGCTAGTCTGCTACATTGGCTGGTAGGTAAATTCTAGGGACTTACCTACCTCATACTTCAGTGCTGAGGTTTTTGTTTTGTTTCGTTTACAAGGATGTTTTGGATTCAAATTCAGATCCTCATGTTTACAGACCAAGGCTTTTTACAAACTGAAGCATTACAGAAGATTTAACATCATTTTTTCATGGGATAACAATCATCTTAAGGTTAGATAAACTATATATGGTAAACATGATTTTCATATAAGCAAGTTTGATATTGCCTTATTTTAAGAGCTCAATTGTTTGTCCTGATAATTTACAGGAATTACTTTGAAACACCAATATTTTCCCTAATACAAATTGCTTTGCCATTTTATGAAGAATAAATCTTAGGCTAAATATGTATGGTTTTCCAGAATATAATTTAGGACTTATTAATTATCCTAGACTTGGGAATTTCAGTTGACCCTTGTATAATAAGGTAGTTAAACAGTAAGTGTGGGCACAGCACTTTCCTGACTGGCTCCTCAGAGATGCCTGTCTAGCACAGCTTCCTTAACAAAACTGCAAATGCCCCAACAACGACATCTGACATTATCTTAATCACCCTCAGGGCACATGATATGCAGGTATTCTGAATGGAATTCTTTCAACTTCTCTAGGAGATGATTTCTCATTTCAGGCTGATTCTGTTTCCTGACTACAGGTTACTACGATTCTCCCCTGCCCCCCCAACAGTACTGGAGCTTTACTGATGCTGTTAGTAGTGTTTAATCTTTACCTGTTACAGTAAGAACAATAAAGTTTCTGATTTTTTCATTTGAAACCTAAAATATCCATCTGCTTTTACAGGGGTGATAGTTTGAGGATATGATATGGAACTCTCTGTTGTATTTCCTGCCCTTCCTTTATTTGATCATGCATAGGTTTGGCTTTAATGAGACATTTCATTTTTTTCCACCTGATATTGAACTGCCTCTGGTTTGTATAGGACTCTTCAATAAGCAACTACTGAAGAGCTATGCTGTTTTATTTTGTTGTCACTGTTGCTTTTTGTTCATATTCTGATTATTGATCTAACACTTTTATTTTCATCAAATAACCTCTCAATAGTAGGGCTTGTACAGTTATCACATTATATTCAGGCTGCATTTTGCATAGACATAGGTTAGCCCCAGAGTTTCATCAGAAACATTCATCTTATGATGATGAAAGTATTTGATTTGGAAACCAGATAATATGGGTCCAATTATGTCTCTTTCAGTGACCTTGGAACACCTTCAATCATCCTCTTATCCTATTTCAGTGGGTAAGAACAGTTCTGAAAGTCCCTGTCCAGTGTATTTCACAAAGGCAGGTACACAGGAAAGCACATCATAGAACACACGACATAGCCAAGGGCAGACCATTCTTATTAAATCTACATTCTGCTAAGTGCAGATACATGAAAAGTTTCTCAGGAAGTGAGGAAAAACTGTTGAGGTCACATCTTGCAAACTTAAGCATTTCTGTAGGTTTACAGTTATCGTAGGGAAACTATTGTGCCCTTTATTTAGTCGGATGTCACAGTGCATGGAAAAGATACTGCTTTTATAGCTTTATATTGTAGAAATGGATAATCCCTATGTCATTCCCTAAGGGAGTAGGAGGCTATCAAAAGCTCTTCCCACACAACTCTCTCCAGCTGAGTTGATACACATACCTTTTCAGTTCAATGTCAAGCTCCCATTGAACTCTGTGTCAGTTGAACAGCAACACAAATTTCTTTTGCCTTTTATCCCCAGTGTGAAGACTGACGCTGCCATCTTCCCACTTGCTGGGATTTTACTTCCTAGGTGCAGGGCTAGAATTTGACACAAAGTTAGAAAACATTATATGTTCATTTTTTACCAGCAGGTTTGCCTTTCTATAACATTTCAATTCATTGTTATATTAAACTAGGTGTGGTAGGAAACAAAGAATAAAAAGGGATTCAGAGTCTCTTTTTATTATTTTTTGATTAAAGATACATTTTTCTACTTTTGATTTCATTTTACATTCCAACCACAGTTCTCCCTCCCATCCCTCCTCCCAACCCCTTTGCCCTCTCTTACTCCTTCTCACCTACTCCATAGCCCAACTTCAGTCCACTCCTACTCACGGCTAATGGTTTTTATGAGGAGTCAACATATTTTGTCTCATTAAGTTGGGGCAGAGGAGGAAGGGGATAGAGTGAGTTGCCATAGAGAAGCCATGTAGCTGCCAAGGAATAAAGAGACCTGGGCATTACTCGTAAGCCTAGACCATGTGGAGATACACCGATTATTATTAATGGATCAATAATTAAGAGAGAGCCAGACAATAAGAAGTCTGAGCCATATGCCAAACAGTATATAATTAATATAAAAAGTCTCTGTGTGTTTACTTGGGACTAAAGGATTGCAGGACCTGGTGGGACAGAAAAATCCATCTACATGTTACCCCAAGGGATAGCAAGTTTCAAATTTCAAAATTTGAATGTTTCACATTATTATTGATAATTAAAATGACTTAAATGAATAACTAGAATAAACAATGCTTCTTATTGTTGGTTCTCAAGTGGACACAAGCTTCCTTTTGGGGGAAAATTACTTGGAATTTATCTACCCATTAGCCCAGTACTAATCTTGAACTTGAGTACTCATTGAGCTTATTCCAAATCGCTTCTAAGCTATCAAGTAGGACTAGTAGTGCCTGATAAAAATTTGTGAACCATAATTGAAAAAAATCACATGAAAGCATTTTATGGGAGCATAATTGACTTAGGATTTATCATAAGTAAGATCTGAAAAACACAGAGAAAATTTCCAAACAAATGTTAGACTTTAGACTGTCCATAAATTAATGGAAAACTTATAACTTTAGCATTTAGCATGAATTTTGTTGATGAGCACAATATGTGGACATACTTTTTCTGAATTTTATAACAGTTTTAGCCTGATTTCTCAAATTCAGATTGCAAAACTCTCAATATCTGTCTTGTTGAAATAGAACTCAACAACACAAGCCCCTCAAAAGTTGGGGTCTGGACAGGTTTTCAGAATTGTTCTCTACCAAACCTACTTCTGAAAGCAGTTGTCAAATCAAACACAGATGCTTTGGCTCCAAGCTATTGAAAGCAAAGAGACAAACATAAGAAAAGAATGGTTGACCCAGCTCCGTACTGCACTGGAGGAAGCTACACGTCAGTCATATCACTGCAGAATTCTTCTGGGAGCGGATGAAATATAAAAGACGAGAATCACAAAATAAGCGCTGAAACCCTGGGAAAGATGTAAGACCATGGAACGAAAGAAAGCCCAGTGGAAAACAAAAGGCAGGCACAGTACAATAGTAAAGACCAGATTTATTTTTATATGGTAGGAATTTCAAACAGTCAAGCCCCTTCCTTTCAAGTTGATCACCTCAAGGCCACATAGGTTCACAGAAGCAACCCGAAAGCACAGACGAGCAACAACAGCGTTTGATGAGGAAATGGGATCAATGAAGACGAGCTGGTTTAACTTTGAAGAATTATTAACCACCTGAAAAGTCAAAATGCTTAAGAAACAGGGCAGTATATGTCAAAGAGGAGAGTGTGAAAGATTTATTTTTAAATCCAGTTGACATGCCAGTTTACACAGTCAAGAGCTAAGCGAATAGCTTAAACCATCTTGGGAACTTTTCTATGAAGTATGGTGAAACGACAATAGAAAGGGCTTGCCAGCTCCGTTGCTATTCACATACTTTTAAATTTCTAATTACCCAAAGGTATCCTTTTCTTTTTATAATCTGATGATCTCTGCTCAACTTTGCTCAGAAAAATTAATATCACTCTAAAAGTCATGCTGAATCTAGCTGACACTATAAAGAGAAATCTTTTATTCTGATGAGTGGTGCCTGAGTTTGTCTACAGTGCTCATATCATGCAACTGGGCTTTAGTCACCTCTTAGAAGCAAAGTCTATGCCCATTGTCAATATGTGTTTTTTTTTACGATTTTAAAGTATGATTTACCCAAAGTAAACTCTCTATAAGATTGAAAATTTTTATTTAGCTCAAAGTATTTTAATAGAATTGCATTAATTGTCTTTGAAAAACAAATAAAACTCCATAGAAATATAATAATGCAACACCTCTATTCATAGAATATTCTGTCTCTGTCTCTCTGTATTATCTCCATCTCTCTCTCTCTCTCTCTCTCTCTCTCTCTCCCACTTCTTCCCTTTTATTTTCTTTGTGATCTTTTATATCCTCTGGGCACATAAATAACAAGTATTATTCCTAACTGTATCTTTGTCTAGGAGAATACTTGAATAATCTTCCAGCATCTCCACGTGTCCACCGGAAATTGTTCTATAAAGTTCTTATAGCATTACATACTGTACACGTCACAGTATATTAATTCTTCCAGAGTATACTGTAGTTAACATGGACTCATTGCCATTATGTTTTGGAGACTTACATCTATCTTAATATCTGCATTCTAATGAGTGACATACTTCTCCACATAGGTCATTCATAGAATACTCATCTCCCATTTGGTTGGAGAATTTTCTCTCCACAGCACTTAAGTCATCACTGTCTAAAAGATGAGGCTTTACTACTACATATGTATGATATTAAATTACTACATATATCTGATACTAAAAATCAACAATATGTGAATATATCAATAAAATGGTATATTATCAATCTCATTTTAACTGAATGTCCATAACTTTTACCTCATCTATTTCAGGGCTTTCCAGCTTTTTTTGTGCTAAATAAACTCCCTCACATCCACAATAGGATTGTTTTCTTATGGATTCACTTTCCTCTGTTTTTAAACCTGTATAGGCTATTAGTCAGCAAATGATTTATATCCTTAATTCATACACAATAAGGGTTAAGTAAATGTGAAAATCATCACTATTTTTTCTCTTCCTTTGTTGTCTTTTATAAAATTATTCATTTTAAATTTTATGGTTAATATAACGTTCCCCATCCTGTTCTTTTCTGCAAACCCTCCAATATACCCCTTCTTCCTCTTTCATATTTTTTTGCTAGTGTCTGCTTCCTCTACCTATTTCTGAATCTTTTCAACTTTCTAATAACACATTAACGTAGCTGAATTCTTCACAATGCAAATAACAGAATGAAGATTCAGTGTTTTGGCTGGATTTGTCAACTTGATACAGGCTACAGTCATTAGCGAAGAGGGAACCTCAAATGAGAAGGTGTTCCTGATTGGCCTGTGAGCAAGCCAATAGCGCCTTTTCTTAATAGATGACTGATGAAGGAAGGCCCAGGGATTTGTGGATGCTGTCACTCCTGGGAAGGGATTCCTGTGTTGTTAAGAAAGCAGAATGCTCAAAGCATGGGGGGAAAAACAATCCTGCCAAATTTCCCCATGAACTCTGCCTCTGTTTCTGCCTCCTGCCCTATTAGAGGTCTGGCCCTGACTTAGTGATGGGCTGTGGTATGGAACTGTAAGCTGAAATAAACCCTTTTATCAGAAAGTTGCTTTTGATCACATGTCATATATCATTTTGCTCATATTGCTATATTTCACCATAGCAGTAGAAACCCTACATAAGACATACAGATTTAATTTGCATGCATAGATGAAATTCAAAGTGTGGTTCAGGTTAATTGCTTCTTAATGATGTACTCAGTCAAGTGATATGTGACTATTTTGAATGCTTTTGATAGGAGATTTTTAGTAACTTTAGGTTTATAGAAAAATTTAAAGACTCCTAGACTTGACATAAGTTTTTAGTGTCATAAATCCTTTGTTTTCATACAGTGTGTTTTCTAGATTTTGTGTATCAATATTTGCCTACTACTTTTCACAAGTGCTATTCATTTCAATTTCTTCAGATTCCTTTGGTGTGTCTGGTTTTGTTATTTGTTTTAGTATCCCATCTTAGATACCACTAGAATGCTCTTAATTTAATTTAGTCATGTTTCCCTAGGCTACTTCTGAATGAGACAAATCTTCAAATGTCCTTTGATGTCATAACCTTAACAGTTCTCTGAAAGGAAATTGGAATTTGATGCTTTTTTTCATGATAAGAGTAGGGTTGTGGGTGATCAGAAGGAAGATCAAAGTAGTAAAGTGCAGTTTTCTCAAAGAATATCAAAGGTCAGTACCACCAGTATACCTTGCGTTAATGTGGACTTTATCCATGTGCCTGAGATGGGGCTTTTCTAGGGTGAATTAACTCCTTTTCCTCTTATTTTAAATTTTATGATTAAACAGAAATTAAATGTTCAAAAACAATAAAATAACATAAACAGTTATTTGAAATGTGGACCCCTGGGCATTTATGCTATATATATATATATATATATATATATATATATATATATATATATATATCAATTACTAGTCAATTTGACAAGCTGTTTTGTCTTTGTACAGTTTTTAATTTTAATTGTCTCCTCTGCCTCTTCTATATGTTTCTATTCTTGTCTTCATGCTTTACTTCTTTGGTAGAGAAGTCATATTTTAAATTTTATGGAATTACATGATGTTTTGCACTCATCTTCTATGGTTCTGAACCATTTTTCAATCAGATTTTTTTCTCAAAATTTTTTTTCTTTGATTGAAGAATTATGATTTGAGGAGGCAGAGAAATGCAAAATATATCACAATATATAATCACTGAGCTATGATAAATTCAAGAAATTATATCTGCTGTACTAAAATGACATGTTGTTGTGAAATTAATATCATTTGGTAATTAATGCTTGGCAAGAAAAATTAGCCAGTTTTAATAATCTTTCTATGGAATACCTAGAATGGTTCCTAGCACCTGTGTTAAGTGGTTCATAACTGCCTATAAGTACAGTTCTAGAACATCCAAAACAACATTCTAGTTTCTGTGATTACTTACACATTCACACACACACACACACACACACACACACACACACACACACATTAGTAATAGAGTTTTTGAAAAAAATCAAGATTTTGGTATTAGATGAGATAATTTCTAATAAATATTTCTCCTATAACTTATTTGTTTACCAAGTGAGAAAATAAATGCCTATATATTTTTCATTTTCATAATTCTAAAAATTCAATTGTATATTACCTTCCACCTCTATATAAAGATAAGCAGGAATTATCCTCAATAAGTTAATCTTGAATCAAAGGTATGATTCTAGTCAACTACCTTGGCTTATTTGAAAAACCTCTCAAATGAGGAGAAACCTGATTTCCACTGTCTGCCTTCTATTCAGTTGAGTTTGCTACACCAGTGTCTTTTACAGTACTAAGTGTATGCTGTTCCTATTGTCTGTGTTCCTACAGACATCCCTATTCCCAGGGAATTAGGTTTCTGGTATAATCTTCCATACCCTCCTTTCACCAAGAGGCAGGGTTTACTCATAGGAAATGTTCAGAAAATAGGTTAAATTAATGTACTATTTCTGCCAGAAACATGAAGATATGTTTGCTGAGTCATTACCAATTGAACTTTGCATACTCTTGGACTTAAGACTTCAATATGGTCATGTTTTCTTAACACTGGGGCCCTCAACATTTTCTCATTCTTGTACCCGACAACAATTTGCAAAACCACAATTTAAATATTTCAATTCCTATTGTTAAAGCTGTTTTCAATAATCAGGCATCATTTAGGGGGCAAAAAAGGCATTGCAAGGTGTTATTCTAATTAATGTGGGGGCTTCCTAGTAAGTCATCTTATCAGTAAAGAATATGATCACATTTGCCTTTGATATGTGACAGGAGAAAAAGTGTTGGCACATAAAAGCACACTAAAAAGGCTAGAGATATTCAAATGAAACAAAAACTTTAACATGGCACTGAAAGATCTATTGTTAATAGAAATTCATATATTCTGCTAACTTTTAGTGAAGATTCTGACATCTTACACATTACTATGTAGACCCTAGAGTAATTTATGTATTTCTGTAGGTTACACTAATTAAAGTTCATAATTATAAATCCACCATGAAAACTAAAAAGATAAAGGTACATGGAATAGATTAAATCTAATAGAACAGTAAAGTACTTAATAAGTTAAGAGCAACTATCTTACTCAATACTCTTGGCATTTAAAAGAAAATTGGGACATAAGTCCATCGCCTTCTGTTGCATGGAAAATCACTTTTATAGAATACTTCAGTCCACCAGGGCTTTGAATACATGAACAATTTCTGCACATTTTTATCTATGAGCTTCCTAGTGCTGCTTGCAATTGTAGCAAAGAGGAAGAAATATTAAAATGAATATCTTTTCATGATGGCAACATTTTTATGGACAAATCATTATCAAGCATCTTAACTACCAATGTAAAATCAGAATTATCTCCACATGGGATCCACCAAGTCTGTCATATAATTCTGGGCAGAGTCTAGGCCTTCCCCCATGTGTCCAGGCTGAGAGAGCATCCCTCCACATGGAATGGGCTCCCAAAGTCTATTAATATGCCAGGGATAAATACTGATCTATTACTAGAGGCCCCATAGATTGCTGAGGCCTCCTCGCTGACACCCACACTCAGGGAGTATGGATCAGTCCCATGCTGGCCTCTCAGCCATCAATCTGGGGTGCATGAGCTCCTCCTTGTTCAAGTCTGCTGTTTCTGTGTGTTCCACCAGCCCAGTCTTGACCCCTTTGCTCATCATTCCTTTCTCTCTGCAACTAGGTTTCAGGAGTTCAGTTCAGTGTTTAGCTGTGGGTGTCTGCTTCTGCTTCCATCAGCCAATGGATGAAGGCTCTAGGATGGCATATAAGGAAGTCATTAATCTCATTACAGGGAAAGGGCATTTTAAGTAGCCTCTCCACTATTGCTTAGATTGGCAGTTGGTGTCATCCTTGTAGATCTTGACTTTAGTGTGTGTGCATGTGGATATGTGTGTATTTATGCATTCACAAGTATATAACTATAACCTGTTTGGTCTATTTAACATTGTTTGCATGAATATGTCTTTAGGTCTGATTACTTGGTATTGCATAACCAATTTGCATACTCTTCCTCACAAAATATTTTTTCTCCCTCTGGCAGCACGATCCAGTTGCCTGTGTTTATCTATGGTTGAGGTTTGTGTGCTTTCAATGTTAGTATGTCTATTGGTATCCTCCTTGTTTAACGCATGGTTAGGCAGGCATGTGTCTGAGAGGTCAATGGTTAAAATGCTTCAGGAAATCAATTAAGTATTCCACAGAAAGAACATGAAAACACTAATTGTCCTTGCCAAAACAATTAATTACCAAATGATATTAGTTTCACAACAACATGCCATTTTAGTACAGCAGACATAATTTCTTGAATTTATCATAGCTCAGCAATTTTTTCTTAAAATGTATTTTTAATGGTGGGTATCAATTTACAAAAATATAAGATGTCAAGAATTAAAACATTTTATGAGGTATATTTTGGGAAAACTGTCAAAACCATATGCATTTTTAGAGTTGTCTTTCAATTAAGATGGTTTTGTTTTTTGAATATTAAATTAACATAGAGAAAACTAATTTGGAATACACCTTAACAATATCCTTTTATATGTCATTGAAGTTATAGATTGTTTTATTTATTTCTTATTTTTTATTTAATTATAAATTAGAAACAAGGTTGCTTCACACGTCAATTCCAGGATCCTCACCCTTTCCCTCCCCTCCTCCCATTAACCCTCCAAAATCCCCTCATTTTCCCAGGGAGGGTGAGGCCCTCCATGGGGGTTCCATAGTCAGTCATTTTATCCAGGGCAGGGCCTGGAACCTCCCCCAAGAATCCAGGGAGAGAGTGCATCTCTCATTGTTGAATGAGTGCCCAAAGTCTATTTGTATACCCTGGATAAATACTAATCTACTACACAAGGCTCAATAGATTACCTAGGCCTCCTCACTGACAGCCACAATCAGGGGGGTGAGGCTCCAAATGATGCTGTAGCGATAAGCGACACACTTACTGAAAGTAAAACTAAGTATTTATTGTAGAAATTACTCACAAGATACCAAGCAAGTAACCCAGATGAGCCCAGTAGTTTTCCCGCTGCCGAACCAGAAGCCGAAATCCGGGAAAAGAGACCAAGACTTCCTGTGTGCTGTCTTTTATGTCTTCCCCCGTAACGCCCCCTAGCCATGCCCAAAAGTGGGCTTGGCTAGTGACATAGTTCACCGCCTACGTACGTATACGTCTTTATGTCCGTCCATATACGTCTTTAGTCATGCCCAAAGTGGGTGTGGTTAGTGGTGTGGTAAACTGCTCTTTTATTACCTCATCTCTAGTAAGTCACATGGTTAATGGCGGCATACAGGCTTCCTCCTACAAGGGAGACTTGATAAGTAACATGCTGGATTCCCAGCCATCAGTCTGGGATTCAAGAGGTAACCCTTCTCAGGTAAGGTGCTTCTGGGGGGCTAAACCAGCCCAGTCTTGACCACTTTGCTCATTAGTCCTCCCTCTCAATCACTTGATTTCTTGAGTTCAGCTCAGTGTTTAGCTGTGGGAGTCAGACTCTGCTTCCATCAGCCATTGAATGAAGGTTCTATTTCCCAGACTTTCTGGCCATGGGACTGTAGGCTGGCAATCCCCAGATCTATGTCTAAAATCCACATATGACAGAGTACATGCCATGTTTGTCTTTTTGTTACTGGGTTACCTCACTCAGGATGGTTTCATCTAGTGCAATCCATTTGCCTGCAAATTTCAAGATTCCATTGTTTTCTTTTCTGCTGAATTGTACTCCTTTGGGTAAATATACTACATTTTCTCTATCCACTCTTCAGTTGAGGGGCATCTAGGTTGCTTCCAAGTTCTGGCTATTATAAATAATGCTGCTATGAACATAGTGGAACAGATATCCTTGTATGAATGGGCATCTTTTGGATATATGCCTAAGAACGGATTTGCTGGGTCTTGTGGTAGGTTTATTCCCATTTTTCTGAGGAATCTCCATATTGATTTCCAAAGTTACTGAACAAGTTGGCACTCCCACCAGCAATGGAGGAGTGTTCCCTTTTCACCACAACCTCTCCAGCATAAATTGTCTTTGGTGTCTTTGATTTTAGCCTTTCTGACAGGAGTGAGATGGTATCTCAGAGTTGTTTTGATTTGCATTTCCTGGATGCCTAAGGATTTTGATCACTTTCTCAAGTGCCTCTCAGACATTTTAGACTCCTATATTGAAAATTTTCTGTTTAGTTCTGTAGCCCACTTTTTAATTGGTTCCTTTGGTGTTTTGGAGACTTCCTTCTTGAGTTCTTTGTAAATTTTGGAGATCAGCTCTCTGTCAGATGTGGGGTTAGTGCATAACTTTTCCCATTCTGTAGGCTGCATTTTTGTCTTGCTGACTGTGTCCTTTACCTTACAGAAGCTTCTCAGTTTCAGGAGGTCCCATTTATTAATTGTTGACCTCACTGTCTGTGGTCTTGTTGGAGTTGAAGTCAGATAATTATAGTTTTCCTTATTTATAATAATAGATAAGCTACATATAGGACTTTGGACTCACAAGAATGGGATAGATGATATTTTCTTTAAATCTTGCTAAAATATTGTAACTGTGTTCTTGCTTGATAACTGTTCTGTTATATATAATTTGACTATGTTAAAGTTAAGACCTTTTTCTTTAGACAGAAAAGAGGAGATGTTGGGGAATTCCTGTGTATATGTCAATAAAGCACTGCTGGCCAATAGGGAATCAAGATAGGTGGGACTAGGAGTCCAGGAGGACTCTGGGAAGGAGAAACACAGAGATTCAAGATGTAACGCCATGGGGTAGGAAGCCCGGAAACCTCTCCGGTAAGAGAAATACTTATGTTATCAATTATGAGATAAATACGTATGTCAGAGCTAGCCAGTAAGAAACAAGCAAGGCCAACAGCTTCATAATTAATATAGCCTCCTGTGTGTTTATTTGGGATTGATGCAGCTCTGGAATCAGGCTGGCGGGAAGGTTTCTCTCAAGGAAAGGCTTCCTTCCAGAATGTCCACATTTTCATTTCTGATTTTGTTAATTTTCATGTTCACACTCTGCTGTTTGGTAAGTTTGAACAAAGGTTTGTCTATCTTGTTGATTTTCTCAAAGAACCAACTCTTCTTTGCATTGATTCTTTGTATTGTTTTCCTAGTTTCTACTTTATTGATTTCAGCCCTCAATTTGACTATTTCCTGGCATCTACTCCTCCTGGGGGAGTTTGCTTCTTTGTGTTCTTGAGCTTTCAGCTATGCTGTTAATTCTCTAGTATAACTATTCTCCAGATTCTTCATGTGTGCACTTAGTGTTACAAACTTCCCTCGTAGCACTGCTTTCAAAGTGTCCCATAGGTATGTGTATGTTGTGTCTTCATTATCATTGAATTCTAGGAAGTTTTTAGTTTCTTTTTTATTTCTTCTTTGACCCAGGAATGGTGAAATTGTGCATTATTGAATGTCCATGAGTTTGTAGGGTTTCTGCAATTTGTATTGTTGTTGAATTCTAATTTTAACGCATGGTGGTCTGATAAGATGCATGGAGTTATTCCATTTTTTTGTACCTGTTGAGCTTTGATATGTTGCCAAGTATGTGGTTGATTTTTGAGAAGGTTCCATGTGGTGGTGAGAAGATGGTATATTCTTTTTTATGTGAATGGAATGTTCTATAGATGTGTGTTAACCAAAATTGGGTTATAACTTCTATTAGACCCTTTGCTTCTTTCTTAAGTTTCTGTCTGGTATTCCTCCTGTCTAGTGGTAAGAGTGGGGTGTTGAAGTCTCCCACTATAAGTGTGTGGGACTTTATATGTGATTTCAGTTTTAGTAATGTTTCTTTTATGAACGTGGATGCCTTTGAATTTGGGGCATAGATGTTCAGAATTGAAACTTCATCTTGGTAGATTTCTCCTGTGATGAGTATGTAATGACCTCCTTCATCTCTTTTTATTGATTTTATTTTAAAGTCTAATTTGTTTGATATTAGGATTGCTACCCTTGCTTGTTTCTTGGGTTCATTTGATTGGAAAATCTTTTCCCAACCTTTAATTCTGAGGTAATATCTGTCTCTGAGGTTGAGGTGTATGTCATGAATGCAGCAGAAGGATGGATTTGGTCTTGGAATCCATTCTGTCTGCCTGTGTCTTTTTATGGTTGTATTAAGGCCATTTATATTAAGGGATATTAATGACTATCGATTGGTCATTCTTCTTTGATTTAGAATGCTTGTTTTGGGAATTATGTGTGGAATACCATCCCTTTTTTCTTTTGGCTGTTGATAAAGTGGGATTATCTAATGCCTATGTTTTTCTGGTTGTAGTAAATTTTCTTGGGTAGGACTTTTTTATCCAGATCTTTCTGTAGGGCTGGGTTAGTGGATATTTATTGCTTGAATGCAGTTTTTTCATGGAATATCTTATTTTCTCCATCTATACTGATTGATAGCTTTGCCGTGTATAGTAGTCTGGGATGGCAACCATGGTCTCTTAGTGTTGGTAGAATATCTATCCAGAACCTTCTGGCTTTCAGAGTTTCCATGGAGAAGTCAGGAGTAATTCTGATAGTTTTGCCTTTATATGTTTGCCTTTTTCCTTAGCTGCTCTTAATATTCTTTCTTTATTCTGTATATTTGAGGTCTTGTTTGTTATGTGGCGAGGGAACTTTTTTTTGTGGTCCACTCTATTTGGTGTTCTGTAAGCTTCTTGTGCCTTCATTGGCATGTCTTTCTTTAGGTTGGGAAGGTTTTCTTCTATGATTTTATTGAATATGCTTTCTGCCCCTTTGAGGTGGTTTTTATCACCTTCTTCTATAACTATTATTCTTAGGTTTGTTCTTTTCATGTTGTCCCATATTTCCTGGATGTTTTGTGTTAGGGATTTGTGGGACTTAAGATTTTCTTTGGTTGATGAATCAATTTCTCCTAGTGTATCTTCAACATCTGAGATTCTCTCTTCCATCTCTTGTATTCTGTTGGTAATGCTTGTATCTGTAGTACCTGACTATTTTCCCAGCTTTTCTATGTCCAGCCTGCCTTCAGATTGTAGTTTTTTTTATTGTCTTTATTTCTCTTGGAATGTTTGAATTGTTTCTTGCAATTTTGGTTTATCTTTTCTTCAATGTGTTGCATTGTATGACTTTTTTGGTTTGTTTTTTCTTCCCTTTCTTGCTTTTTTTGGTTTGTTTTTTTCCTCCATTTCTTGAATTTTTGGTTTGTTTTTTCTTCCATTTCGTTGAGGGATTTTCCTATACCCTCTTTTAGGGCCTCTATCATTTTCATGAAGGTGTTTTTAAGGTCATTCTCTTCTGCTTCATTTCCATTCGAATGTTGGAATCTTGCTGGTGTGGAGTCTCTAGAATCTGGCGGTGTCATATTCATTTTTATGTTGCTGAGTGTGTTTTTGTATTGTCTCTTTTCCATCTCTTCTTCTAGTGGGGGCAGACAGAGCCCCTTATTGGTCTGGTGGTTAGGGGACCAGAATTCCCTTTCTGTGGGTTCAAGCAAGTCCAATACTCTGGTAGTTCTTCTGTTCCTGGTCCTAGTCCTTTTCCTTTGGGTGGAGAAGTAGCCCAGGCATCTGGGTTGCATAGTCTCCCACCTGGTCCCCTGGTCCCTTTGTTGGAAGAGAAGACCTGGGATCAGGTGTGCATTGCTCCTGCCAGGATGGGAAGCTCTGTGGCAGTCCCCAGGCAATCCTCAGCACTGGAATGCAGGCCTGTATGCAGGGCCTGTTTTATCTGGTCCTGCCTGTCCTGCTCTACCACTAGCTCAACAATTTTTTAATGCTATTTTTTTTGCTTTAAAATCTTTCCTGATCCACTTCTCAGTTCAGGGAAAGAGTGGCAGTATAAAAATGACACTTTCAGTGCATGGCTACTTGTGCTTTTAGGTGTATTAGATTAGAGTTGAAGAAGCTGGTCCTGAAGAGTTAAAACAAAACTGTTGCAGAAACAATCAAATTAAATCAGCATAAATTAGTTTTAGCAAGATTTTGTGGCATTTTATAAATAAATGAAATATCTGTAACTCATTTCTAGGTAAATACATATTTTTGAGTTTGGAAGAAGTTTTAGAGGAATATTA